CGTTCGTTTGTCCGCTCAGATTGCATCTAAGCCGTCCATTTTCTCATCTTAGCGAACCGCCCGGTTAAATAAAACCGGAGCCGGTTCGACGGTTTTACGGTCGGACCGCCGGTTCAGGAGGTTCCAAGCCGGTTGTATGCAAAAACGGTTTTATACAAATAAGTAACCGGCCGGCCGGCCGGTTCCAGGTCCAACCGGTTGAACCGGCCGGTCCGGTCCGGTTTTGAAAGCCATGCATAAGAGATACTAGAATTTTTACCAGAAACCTCCTAAAAAAGGGGAAAACCATAGGGTCTGGTCCAATTTGAATAAATCCACTAGTATTTATAGTGGATTACAAATGACGACGACCTTTCTCAGGGGAAGGTGTTGGTTCAATACAATACATATACATTATATATAGCACTTTGTATGGTTTTAAGAATCCAATAACATGAGAGCTGTCCTCAAGAGAGTATTAGCTTATTTATCGAATCAATAGGATTGTATTTGGACGATAGATATAAGAGGGACTATAATTGGTGAATGATGTAGGTCAAAAGGACCGTAGTTGGGCAACAATGGTCGGAAGAATCATAATCGGTGAGTGAAGGAGATCAGAAGGATTGTAGTCGGGCGACAGAAATCAAAAGAATTATAGTTGGGCAACGATGATCGGAGAGATCATAGTCGGCAGGCTATAGTAGTCAGAATTCAGACGATAATGATTGGAAGGATTGTAATATCACAGTCGACGTGTGATGCCACATAATATGATTTGAAAAAAAAAATATTATTTTATTTTTTTAATAAATAATAACCAAAGCTACTTAAATTTTTTTATCAATATAAAAACTATTAAAAATAAAACTATCGGTCAAAAATTTATATACATATAACTCAAATAATAATAAACTGAACCTGAAGAACCGTGGTCAATCTCTCACTCATGCTCCCTTGTATTTACTTAAAATTATTTAATCACATATAATAAGTTTAAAAGCCCCAAAGCCCAGCAAATCCTACAACTAAATCAAAACACATAAAAAATAATATGCACATCGTCAATCAATTCATAATAGTAACAATAATATGATCATGAATAGATGTAGAAATAATAAAACACACATGCAGTAGTAGAATATGCAAACAGTAAAACATTATGACATGAAAGCAATACAGTAGAGAAATCAATAAATTAGTATGGGTTTCAAATTGATAAAACAATCATTATATCAGTACTATCAATCGGTAAAGAAATCATATAAAATGATAAAATCAAAGCATCAATAAAGACTACCAGAATCATATAAATACAGCGAAACTCTATAATGATGTACATATGCTATCTAGTTGTTGTATATTAGTATCTTAATCACGTGCTAAGTATATCACATACTTAGAATGAGTACAATAAATTACTATCAGTAATCAATACAGTGAATTAATAGTAGTATCGAACAATATCAATATTCATATTAGTATTAGTATTAGTGTAGAGTCATTAGTACAATCGGTGGTAGTAATAAAAAAATAATGTAATAATAGTAAATTCGTACAATGATTTGTAAACTAGTAAACAATTACATTAAAGCAATAAAATGATATAGTAGTTGGAATAATGAATCAATAATATGCATTTCAATAGTCATAATAAACAAGTAAGAAATCATGGTTTAATCGATGTTTTTCTAATATCGTATCAATAAAGTGAATTGTTAGTTCAGTAAACAGAGTTATCACTCTTTACCCGTCGATGCAGTATTCATCTCTTTATTGAATGTTTGTTAGGATTTTAAGCCCGTATGAACTAGCCCAAGCTAGGCCAATTAAAAGATATGTGAATTAGTATTTTAAAAAAACATTCAATCAAAACACAAACCAAACCGAAATTCACCATAAAGAAAACACAATGCGGAAATTAAATGCAGAAATAATAAAGGAAAGAACACACCAAATTTATAGTGGTTCGGTCAAACCTTGACCTACGTCCACTCTTCGGAGACACCCTCCGAGTATTGCACTAATTAAATTTAGTGTCTCTCCTTTAGCCCCCACAGCTAGGCGGAGATGCCCTTACAAAATTTATAGTAGCCGGGTCCATTGACACCAAAGATATCTTCTTCTTCCGTGAACTCCCCTCAAGACAAGTTTTGAATCCGAAGGTACTAAGTTGCAAGCTCGCTGGAGCAACCGTGTGGAATCCCCCTCCACACTCCCTTGAATCCCCCTCCAAGAATTTTCTCCCTCTCTCAAACTCCACCCTTTCAAGCTCTCTCTTTTAGTTTTAAGTAGAAAATTTATTTTGAGGCTTAAAAAATTATTAAAAAAAATCATAAAATAGCAGTTTTTATTTAAATTTTTTTAGTGAAATCGATTTTTCAAAACAGACGCATGAAGATTCCAAGACCCCCACTTATACTGAGATGTGTCAATTTCTTAAGGATTTACGCTAATGCCCACAAATTTAAAAAAAAAAATTAGTACAATTAAATCACCACAATATCTATGTTATGGCAAAAATGGTTTATAATTTGGACTTATAATAACTCATAAATTTTCTTTTGACTAGGTTATCACACGACAAATGACCGTGGTCGAAAAAATCGTAGTCGGACGATAGTGATCAGAAGGAAGATAGTGAGGCGATGGTGGTCGGAGGTATCATAGACGATGGGTGACGGTGGTTGAAAGGGACGGTAGTCGGAGTGGCCGTCATCGGCGGGCCACAATGGTAAGAGGAAGGCTCGACAGTGATAGTCAGATGGAGGTCCAACAATGATGGTTGAGCAGAGGTTCATCAGCGATGGTCTGGTGGCGTGGATTCATCAGCAGTGGTGCCGAGGTAGAGCTCTAGGATTCTTTAAGCCTCAAAGCTCTTCTCTCTCTCTCCTCCCCTCATGTGAAGAATGAGGGTATATTTATAATTTTTTCGGAGTGGCATGCTTAATAAATATGAAGAAGACCCAGTATACAATTAGAGTGTTCTATCAGACGGCTGATATCAATTCCCTCAATCATGGAGCATTCTTTAAACATTTAAGTCTTAATGATGTCGAAATTCAACGATCTTGGCTTGTTGTATTCGTCTCGTCGATCGCTGCCGATTGGATTATAAGCATGATATATTAAGATATCATTTGGTCATCCATTTGATGTTTTGAGGATTCCAAGAATATTTTGATCCATTGATTTGGGCTCAAATTGGACTGAATTTGTTGTCATTGGATTTATCTCCTTGAGATGTTCAATTTGACTATAAACTTGCTGAAATCGGAGTTTGAATAGTCTCGAATTTAACTTTGAAAATTTTTTATTCATATTTGCATCGAGATTTGAGCCCGATCAAGGCGAATTTAATAATGTATCAACTATAAGCTCCAAGATTTGGAGATTATTTAGTGCTCAAATAAATATTTTGAAGTTTTCAAATATACTTCTTATATATCTACAAAAAATTGGCTTGATCAACATAAATCTACAGGAAAAAAGTTGAATTGAAAAACTGCTATAATTAAATTCAATATCATATGAACTCCAATTTCTGCAAATTTATAATTGCTCTGAACGTCTAAATAAGACAAACACAACGATACCAAAAGTGGAACAATACGAGCCTAAAGGAGCCCAAATCATGCACTTATAGCATAAATGTAAACTTCAAACATTAATTGGATGACCAAATCATCTCTAAATTAGACATGATTATAGTTGAATCGAGCGGCTCGACGAGACAATTCCAACAAGTCAAGAACAATCAATTATAACATCATTAACTCGCTTAGATACTGAATAAATATTTCATGATCAAAGAAATCAATGTGGGCCATATGATGAAGTGTTCTAGATTTTGGTTCAAATTGTCAAAATGCTCATAAAAAAAAAAACTTTATGTAGCCCAATTAATAATTATTCACATGTTGGGGAAAGAAGAGAACTAAAGAGCTGTTTTGTATTTTCTGAATTTTTCACGTAAAAAATTTTGATCTTACTACATTTTTTCAAGCCCTAACCTTTCTACTTCCTCTGATGCAACTCCAAGGCTGGTTAAACTCATAAAATATATTACATATTTCCTAATTTTTGTTCATTGTTATTATGTTATTACAGAAAATGGTAGTCAGAACAAAGAGTGTGGAGTACATGCCGTTTTTCCTCTCCTTCTTCCTCATGCTTAATGGTGGCATTTGGACGCTATATGCTTTGCTGGACTCTGATTTCTTTTTGGGGGTAAGCTCTCCCATTAACTCATTATCATGATTTATTTTTGTAATAAGCACTTACATTAAAGTTTCATTTAGGACGAATTTTTTATTGCTTTAATTTTCAGATCGTAATTATAGTTTCTATGTGATCATTCTTTTTGGCTGCTTTCAAAAAATTTTGTACTAATCAGTGCTATCAGCAATGGCTTTAAAAAGTTACTTGCTTTAAAAAGTTACTTTTTCTACGGTAATATTAGTAAGACTTCATTTGGGACAACTTTCTTATTACTTTTTAAGGTGACTTTCTAGTATAAGAATTTCTTGAAGTAGAAATTTCCGTACGGAAAACCTACTTTAAAAAATAATAAAAAAACAGTCCCAAATAAGAGAAATTATTATGTGCGGCTGCGTGCCAGACGCAGCTCTACATCCGGAGACTAACCAGAATGAGCCACGTCAGCAATACCGAGCGCGGTACAGAGCGATACCGAGCCGCGGTACTGACGTAGCTCGTTGTGGTTGGTCTCTTGACGACATTATGCGCCAACACAAAATAAATTCTCCCAAAGGAAGCCCAAATAAAGGCATGAAAAGTAAAAAAAAAATAAAAAATAAAATAAAAGCAAATGATTTCACAACAAAGGAGGGTTAGTTTGACAATACTCCAATTTATTTACTTCATTATTATCACATATTTATGCTAATATTCTCATTTTGTAAATGATTATCACAGATATCCAATGGAATAGGATTCATCTTGGGAATCATTCAGCTCACACTGTACATAATTTACATGAATCCTAAGGTGCCCAAACATCTGAACATTGCAGTTGAAGAACACTCGCAGCAGCACCAGCGGCTCATCTTCCCCAACATAGACGCTCACAAAAGCACTGACGATGAGGAACGAGGCACCTCCCCTAATGAATAAGCAATTAGGGCATACTAATTCCTCTATCCAGATAGAAATTTGCGCTGCTCTCTGTCTGAAGTCGAGCTATAGTATATACATTGATGCATTTTTATTTTTATTTTTGTCCGAAGATGGCTTTGATTTGGGCAACTTTCTTATTGTTTTTTAGAACAGTTTTTTTTGTGCAAAATCTATTTGAAAAAGGAATTTTTATATTAAAAAATTGTTTTAGAAAGCAATGAGAAAGCCTAATTCATTACGTTCTTGAACTCATAAAATATATACACATGTAATATGATAATTGTTTAAGAATATATATTGTTAAGAGCTCTGAAGACTTTAATTGCAAAACTTTTTAGATGCTGAGTATTGCGTTGCTGGGTGGCGCACTTCATCAGCAGATCAACTAGCAATGAAATTGCGTCTCTCCTAGAGAGGATATTAGTTCTCTGCCACAATCCTTATCGAGCATGGCTGGCAAACATGACTGCTAATCAAATTCCATTGGGAATGGCAGAATGCCACATTGGATTCTCCCAAGATGCAATATCGCCCCCTACATGAATTCACATGTGGGATGCTATGTTCTATTTGTAGTTCATAATCTTTTTTAAACTTCTACATTGTAAATCTCAAAAAAACTAATTAAGTTTGTTGTATGTCAAAATGTTCACAGCAGTGAAAAGAGAGTTTTAACGTCTTAATATTATATGAAGATACATTAGACATAGATAAAAGAGGTTGCAAGGGCACCCGTGCTTTTATGTGGAAAATAAATTTAAAGAAAAGAAAACTTACAATCTGGCTAAGTTGAAATGATTCAATTAATATTTATCATTTGTTACAAATTATATTATTTCGCGTGGCTGAGGAGGAGGATAATATAAGATGCAAATGAATTGTGTATTGAAAATCTAAATCAAGAGCTATTAGAATTTTCTTCAAGAGATCATTTGTAATATTTGTTCATTTTATTTTGAGGAGAAGAAATTAGAGATCATAAAGTTCAGTATAAATATTTGAATTGATATTAGAAGTTATAAGAGTTAGTATCAGCAGCGTGCATCTGCCTTATAGGTGATGACGTGTGGCGAGATTATTGATTTTAATGAGGGGCGGTGGGCAACAAAGTCTGTGAGCATCAGTGCAATCGAAGGAATACAGTTGGATATGATCATGTTTAAGGAATCATTGTTGGGTGATAATGATCCGACGACTATAGTAAGAGGACGGTGGTTGGAGAATCATAGTCGGAATATGTCGGTTGAAGGACCATACTCGAGCTAAGAACTATGATACACTCCTTCGTTCTTCCTATATATATATATATATCAACTTAGACTTTTCTATGTAAAAAAGGTCATTTCTTACTTTCTAACAAAAAAAAAAAAAAAGCCTTTATTAACTAATGAGTCTTCGTTTACTTTAGCAGAACTTTGCTAGCCCATTAGTTGGCCTTTGCAAAGCTATTAGTGGCCATTGTTCTAGTCTTTATGAATCTCCACTAAACTAATATCTATATCAGTTAAAGACTCTAATGAATTAGCCATTGGAAAAAAAACACTTAAGCCAACATAGCATTTTAAAATAGATTTGTTCCAGCTAACAAATTGTTCTTCTGATCCACAGTGCTATCGATTGTATAAATAAATCGCTTAGTCATCTGAATAATCCAACAAAATTGTTTGAATTATTCTCTTTAAATAAGAAAATTAAAGATGAAAGAATATTAAATATATAGTAATAAACATGATGTAATGTACTAATTAACTATAAGGTGACATATGGAGCTTAATGTTTCTGAACTGATCAAGCTATATATCCTTAAATTAATGGCAGTAATGTAAGCTTGTGGTGTTGTGTCACTCTGAATGCTATATAATTTTTACGCTGCTTAAAGTTCCTGAATAAAATAAAGATTGCTGTATCATTTCTGACAATAATGGCGCCTTCAAATTGTTTTTAGAACACAGAGAGTGCGTGTGCAGTCAACCATTATTAAAAAAATGGCATAATTGAGATCCCAGTTACCTCCAAACACTCTCAGGCTTGGTTTGGGACGATTTTTTTTTTTCTTTTTAAGACAACTTTTAAGGAACCGTTTTAAAAAGCAGTATGAAAGCTGTTCTAAACGAAACTTGAATGTATCATTGAGCTGCCATTGGAACAAGGATGGTCATTGCTGTCATTGATCAGGCTTGGTCAAGCTGCAAGATGAATACAATCAACTTATCTATCGCTTGTAAAAAAATTGTTGCTGGAGACTCTTAAAAACCATCGAATTAATTTGGTCTGTTTTCAGATATTTGAATTTTTTTAATTATGCTCAAGAGTATATATATATAAAGCATAAAATAATATTTATTAATTTTAATGCAAATGAAATCAAATTATGATAAATTTTAAAATTATATATTTCAGTTTTTGTAAGAAAAGTTGTTTGTTTGGGAGCTTAATATGAAAATATATGAGAAACATTTCATTAAAATCTATGAAACAATAGACCTTAATTAATTCTTGAGATAGATATATAGGGCTATTGCATCCTTTGTTGAGGATAGATAGTATAATTCTAATGTCTAGTTTTTGTTCTCATTGCAAAGAAGTGGGTCATAAAAATTCTGATTGTGTTAAATTGCATCCTTTGTTGAGGAAGGTTGCAGCCCCTGTCCTGCCGAATCCTATTGTGCCGGAAGTGGTTATGCCTCAAGTATTGAATGATTTAGCTATTGACAATGAGGTATAATTAAAGCTAACAAATTACGATAGAGAAAGATTACATTATTTAAATTTAAATGAAGTAGCTTAAAATATACTAATTATAATTTTTTATATCTTTTATATTAATAAGATGCAGCTGTTTTATATTTATTACTCGTTATAAAATATATTTTAATTATTTTTTATTTATTTAAATTAGATATGAAAACCTTAAGTTAGATATTTTTTTAAAAAATAAAATCCTAATGTCAATTTCATTCTCAAATGAAAAAAACTTGATGGTATTTTTTAAATTAAAAATTTGTGCCCCCGCAAATAAATAATTCTGGCTCTGCCACTGATTGCACTTAATTTGATCCATTAAAAGTTATTTCTTAGCTATTTAAGTCTCATTAAACAGACAAATAAATTGTGTAACATGTGATTGTGCTAAATCGAGCTTTTTATGATTAGAGTTCATTTGGAATGCTTCATTTGAGACGACTTTCTTATTGCTTCTTAAAATAATTTTTTAGTTTAAATATTAAATTTTTTGTACTATAAAACTGCTTTAAGAAACAATAAGGAAACCGTCCCAAACGAAGACTTCATTAACATAATATTGTATGTATTATAAAAATATATAAATAATATGGATTACTAATTCATATTTACAAAATATTATTTTTTTCACCCATATATAACCAAAATTGTAGTTTTTATCTTACTTGTAGAATTTGTATTTTTTTCTTAACCAAGCAATTTCGACATTAGCAATAATATATAATAATGTATATTATTCAAATCAAATTATCATTGTCCTACTCAGAAGTAAAGTTAAATTAAAATATATCTAAAAATATATAACTTATTTATTAAAAAAATTAAAATTGACCTATAGAGAAAAAGAAGATAGAAAGTTATTCTATATAATTAGAATTACTAAATGCATACATTTAATTTCTAATTTAAAACTTTGAATAATAGATGAGAGGAGAAAGAGGAGTGAAAGGTATTAAATCCAATGTAAGCAGAAAATTGTGTGGCTCATCTCCTCTACTAAAAAAAAGGTCAAGAGTAATTAAAATGATTGGGACTTGCATAACTTTAAATGTGAAATAAAACAGAATTTTTTTTTTTTTAGAATTTTGGGCAAATGCACTTATTGAGAGAGGATAGAAGAATTAAAATATTTTTTCTATTAAAAAAAAATTCAAGGTGAGCAATTGCCAACCCTAAACTTTTCTACATCAGCCACTATCTAAAAAAAAAAATAATATAATTGATATGTCATCAAAAAATTATCTTGATCGGGCACGAATCTTGATGCAAATATAAATTGGAAGTTTCCAAAATTAAATTTATGATCATCCAAAACTCTGATTTCAACAAACCTATAGCCAAATAGAATATCTCAGGTATGCAAATCCAATAACACCAAATTTAGTACAATCCGAGCAAAAATGAAACCAAATCAAAGGGATAAAACATACTTAAAAGCTTCAAAGCATCATTTGGATGACGATATGATATCCGAATATGATGTGTTATAGTCGAATCGAGCGGTTCAACGCGACAAATCCAAAAAGCTCAAGATCACTTAATTATGACATCGTTATGACACATAAATGTTCAAATAATGCTTTATAATTGAGGAAATTTATATGAGTTGTTCGATGGAACACCTTAAACTTGCCCTAGATCTTCTCCATATTTACTAAGCATGTCACTACGAAAAATCTATGAATAGACCCCTATTCTTTACATGAAAGGGGGAGAATGAAGAGAAGAGTTATGGGGCTTAAAGAAGAACGCCAACCCGGCACCACTTCCGGCGAATCCACACCACCACATCGCCGCCGAATCTCTTCCTGATCACTGATTGTCACTAGACCTCTGCTTGTTCGTGTATTGGCACCAAATCTATTCCCAACCACCAATTGTGCGAGACTTTTGCATGTTCGTTTGCCGCCTACGATCTTCAAATATCAGCAGACTTCTACCCGTCTACTTATTATTACCGGATCTCCAACCATTGCCAAACCACTTCCTCCCAATTGTTGCCATCAAATTTCTAATAGTTGTCATTTAATCAAGCAAGAGTATTCGTTTGAAATTTGGTGAATTCTCCAATACATTATATTCTCACTGTCCCTGAGTTGAAGGACGAGTCGACTCTTTTTATAACATGTTCAAACACTAGTAAAATCATTTTAACCAGACAATGCCTCATGATTTTTCCCTTTTCAAAGTTAAGTTTTCAATCCTATCATCCGAGTTTTCCATCCAAAGCAATCATAATTTAAAGAACATCCTCTCAACCAAATAGATTTACTCCACTCCATATTGGCACAATCCACATAAATCACTTTAAAAGCATTTTTATAAGAATATTATTTCTTACCATTCCATAAGCAAGAGAGACCATTATCTCTAATACTAATGCCATAAGATCAAAAATTCTAACATGACTAGAAACACTGAGCTATTGAGCACTCTAAAGAAAGCTTGAGATATATGAAATAACATACTCCACGCCCACTTTTATTCATATCCAACAAAAAAAAAAAACACATGAGAAGCTGTTCTCATATAGGCTTCTTAGCACAGCAAAAAAACATACACCACAAACAGTAGCAAGTTGTCTTCACAAACACACGCGCATATATATATATAAAATTTATTCTTACACATTCTACTAAGTCACTCTCCGTTGGTGTACTCACCTCTGGTAACTTCGAAAGCTCAGCAGAGCTCACACCTGGTAAGGAGAAGAATTATTCTTTCCTAAAGCGCCATTAGATGCATCAGAGTTAGAGTTTCTCCGAAATGGATTCCATTCCTTCCCCCCTGTTCAAATGCCACAAGAAAACAAATATAAAATATTAATTGCACCTGCCAGATCAGCTGATGAAGTCAGAAGATAACATGAATATAGATAAATAAAAAGGCAGTGCAATGACTAAGCTTAACACTGCATATAACACATGGGGGCTGTTTGGTGGCACCAGGGATTTGATTTAAGTAGGATTTAGGGTTTATCCGCTGAATTCGGATATCAAAAATCTTGAGGGGCCTAAATCCTAAAAACTGTTTTGTAGCATTCATGATAAATCTTATTAAATCCCAAGTGATTGTTTGGCTATAGAATAGATTTAACAAGCGGATTCTTCCTCTCGAGCCAATGGATTTCTTAAATGTAGCAAAAAACTGAATTTCGGAAATCCAGAATTTAGCATGAAAAGGCTGTATTTTCCGTCTATGATGACTTTCATTAGCTGTGAGATTTGGTTTTGCATTTTGGGCCATTAGGCTGGATTTCGCTCAAATTTGCCTCAAATTCTCAAATCCGGCCTAAATCCTGCTACCAAACAGTCCCTTAAAATGGATAAAAAAAAAGAGGATTTACAAATCCGCAATCAAATAGCTAGGATAAGACTAATAATGAAGAAGATGAAACATAAAATCTTAACAAATGAGCTTCTTGGAGCAGGTGTTAATGCACAGAGTAACTTTAGCTCAGTTCTGTCCACTTAAGCTTATGCTTAAGATACAAATCATATATTCTAAAGCCGGAAAGAATTATTGATGGTTTGCAAGATAATTTTTACTGTTTAATAATAAAACAATTAAGTATAGTTATAAACAGTAGTGCAGATTATCAAAACTGTCTTATCATTAAAAAAAAGAACATGTGGTACATCTAGCGTTCAATTTTGAAGAAGTTATCATGAACTAATTTTCTTGCATGATACATATCTAACGCACCAAACTCGATCTCATGTGTAATAAGAATGAAAAAAATAGGCTAGGAAATCAAATAGTCAAAGTCAAATTAGGATCGAAGACATATTTTCAAGAACAAAAATATCAAGCCTATATCCTACTTTGGGGGTAGGCTTCATGTTATGATTATTCGACAAATTTTACACTAACTATCGACTATCTCATGCAACTTTCCATTCAGGCTTGGGACCTAGCAACCTTAGTGTTCAATCAAATACTTTTAAGGAATTAAAGAAAATGAATTTTATTATACAAAACAAAAACTAAAATAATATGTTGTAAGAAAAAAAATTTAACACAAAAAACTAACATGTAACTTACGATTAAGTATGATAGATCCTAACCTAAATTTTGTATGCATACATCGAACCAACCTTTCCCGCAAGAACTCTTCGGGGGCTGTTTTTATCCTATTTTAGGCAGGATTTCTGCAAAACTTAGCATAAATCCTGCTAAACAGGTTTTTGAAGATTTTAAATCTTACCATCTTAAAAAATTTCACTTTCAGCCCACTATTAATTAAATCCAGAATTTATTAAATCTCATCATTCTGAGATTTAAAATGCCAATTTTTTTTTAGGTAAATCCTATAAACCTAAATTTGATAAAGACTATGAGGGTTACAAATTGAATATTACTTCGCATGATATATGTATTTTTTTTTTTGCTTCGCATGATATATGTTAAATTCAATTAAACCCTAGTAAACGGTTTAGCAACTTATTTCAAGATTTAGTATTTTTTATAATTATGAGATTTTATTATATTTGCTTGGCCTCTATGAATCTTATACAGATTAACTAAACCCTAAATCAATTTGAGACAACATTCTAATTATTAATTAATTGGTAATCTATTTAGTTAATTAAACACAGTTATTTCTGTTTAGTCAAATTAAATTAAAAATAATACCAACTTGTTTATGTTAATACTTTTTAATTAAATAATATTAAACATTAAGGCTTACTTATTCTTCATTTAACCCGTCTATATCTAATTTATTTGATTGAATATTTAAATTTTTTTATCAATTCTAATTAAATTAATTAAATTGTAATTACCATAAAGTAACATCTCAATTAATAGTTATTTATTTATTTACAAAGTTAATTGGTCAAAATAACTACTTTTAGTAAAATTAAGCTCCAAATTATATCAATTTTCTTAAATTAATATCTTTTAATAAACTCTTATTAATAATTAAGACTAATTTAATTTTCAATTAATGTATCTATCGCAATTTATTTTATTTATATTAATAACTTTAATTAATAGTTTTTATCCTAAAGCTCTCTATTAAGAGAAGGGTTTTAGGATCCAAGCATCCAACCATCACGAGTTTCGTATCTCTTTCTCCTCTATGGCTCCAACCCAAATTACCAGGACACTCCACGACAAAGCAGAGGTTAGGAAGGGACGGGAGCTCGCTGAGAAAGCATCGACGGGACCAACAACGTGTGAAAGAAACGAGGAGTTTGTGAGACGTTGAAAATTTCAGTTAAATCGCCGAATCCCCGGATTTTGTAAATCCGAGATTTAAGTTCTTCCTTTTTACTATTTGGCAAATTTGAGCTAAATCATGATTAAAATCCGGGTCAAAATCAGCTACAACCAACCCCCTGAATCTTAAATTTGGTATAACCAAACAGTCTATCAGGATGTAACAAGTTTAATGGTTATCATGCAAACAGTTTCCACATTTTAATCCTCTCAACATTTAGTAAATCTGAATTTACAGGATTACTGATTCCTGTTTGAGTTCAATTTTACTTGTAGCCAAATAGCCCTGTTCAAGTTTGGTTTCAAATAAAAAACTAATTAAAACCCGAACTGGGTTCTCGGTAATTTCTCCATCACTCAAAATGACATTCAGCGAAGATCAATCAGATTAACGGCATGGTGAATATGGACGGATTCAATTTTTTATGATTCAGATCGCTGTAAAAAAAAAAAGGTTTCTAAAACTCAAAACCTCCAGATGCCGCCTTGGATCTATGCTATGAGAAGCATTCCTTAAATCAAAAGTTCAAGCTTACCAGATGCCGCGGATAACGGGGAAGCCGATTCCGCCGGTGAAGGCGGCGGCGTCCCGCTCAAAGGCGACGGGCATCCCGAAGGCCTCTTGATCATAATACTCCTCGTCACCCTCAGTGCATTTTCTTGAGAATCATAACCGATATCCTTCGAGATCCCACTGTCCGCCATCTCATCTTCCGAAGTCCAAAACCCCCCTATTAGGCCAACGTATTCCAATAAAAAACCCTATTTCGAGAAAACGAGAGGGCTATGGCTTGGGTTACCTTTGCCGTAATTAGAGAAGAGTGGATTTGGCTTGCGAAGGCGGCCAAGCCCTTTCTCCGGCCGAGGCCCGGCGAGCGTGTCATCCCAGAGCTTGTCGAGAAGACCCATCTTCTTTACATTAACTATGAGAAGTAACCAGCAGATCTGTCCGACAGTGGAGACTGTGAGGCGATGTCACGACGAGCACCTAAGCTATATTTAAATACCCATCCTTCACTAAACTCCAATGCTTTCAACTACTTAATCCGATTTTTTTTTTTTTAACATTTAGATCATTTAAGACAAATTCATACACAAATGACTCGAACTCAATATCTCTTAGTTGAAAGCATAAGCTCTCAACTAAAAGGCAAAGGTGAGCTGTGTGAATTTTTTTTTTTCATTCAACTAAAATTCTTTAAATTTGATGTTTCATTTATTACAGTTTTTTTATTATTTTTTGAAGTATAATTTTAGTATAAAATTTTTCATTCATAAATTTATTTTACTTAAAAATTGATTTTGTTTAGGACAACTTTTTAATGCTTCTTAAAAATAGCTTTTGTATCAAAATTAAAATTTTTATATTGAAAATTTATGTATCATCAATAAATTATCTTGATTGGGCATGAATCTCGAGGCAAAATCAAGCCGGAAATTTCAACAATTAAATATGGTATCACATGAACTCCAATTTCAGCAAACTTATAGTCAAACTGAGCGTCTCGGAAATACGAACCCAATGGAACCAATTTTGACTCAATTCGAGCCCAAATGAGTCCAAATCAAGGACCTAAAGTGTTGTTCAAAAGTTCCTATTTGAGTTCAATTATATTTGTAAGCAAATAGCCCTGTTCAATATTAAATTTTTTATATTGAAAATTATTTAAAAACTAATAATAAAGTTGTTCTAAATAAAGTCCAAGTCTTAAGTATATGTTGTGTAATGAATAAAAAAAAATATTGTGTATATGAATAGGTCTTAATTCATCTAAATATCTTTTAAAAAAATATTTTTGGTACAATTTGTGTTAATCAAATAAAATTTAATTTCAAAGAACATCTTTAGGTTTTACTTAAAATATCTGATTTAATTTAATATTTACCTTAAAATAAATTCAATAAATTTAATATATATTATAATTAAATTAAATTTAGAATGTTTTGTCTAAATTTATCCTTTTATTACACTCGCAAAAAAATTAAAAAAAAATCTAGTAATCGAGCACTTCTCCAGCTTATGGATGACGTTGCAGGCGGATCGCACGAGAATAAGAGCCGGCCAAGCCGGCTGCTACAAACAAATTGAAGGGTCATTTTCGGCTTTTCCTTTTTTTTTTTTCTAATTTTGTAAAAAATATACAGTTATTTTTGCTAGCTTTTTGTAACCTTAACGAAGGGCTAGATACATTTTACTAAAATTATTTTATTTTGTAATAAAATTTATCATAATAATTTAATTTGTAACCAGAGCAGGCAATTATCCTTTTGGCAATAATTATAATTTTTTTTTGAAACAAACAAAATAATATGTCGAATTATGCCATGATTTCAAATTGATTTAGGTTCTTTGTTTACAAATATAAATAAGAATTTAGGCATTTTATAACATCATTTGAAATTTATGATATATTTTAAATTGTATAGAATTTTCAATCTATTAAAAATTGTATAAGAATGATGTTTATCGATAGATCAGAACCATTAGTATGATCATTATTGTCATTAATGACCTATTTGATTTTTCATTACAACGAAAAAGATGATTATTGATGAGAGTGCTATTTAGCATTGTAGACTTCTGAAGGATAGTTAGAGTGGCTTGCCATTTATAAATTTTTTTGTCAAAGAAGTTCATTGTTAGATAGCACAAAAGAAATGTGACTGAGCTTAAAAAAGAGTAAATAGTAATTTTAATCATCAGATAAATGAAATAAGCAATCCATCCATCATCAACAATCATGATTACACGGTCCATTGATAGATAGCTCAACATGCATTTGATAAAGAGCAATGGAGCTCAAATAGTGTCATCTAATCTTCAAATTGCTACAATGAGTAGCACAATTTTCATCATAAGTGATTCACTTATGTTATTATTATGATGATCAAGATGGAGGTTGATAAGAATACATTTGTGTCTTTAATTGTGAAGTTCTTTAGATGTTTACAATCATGAATATATATATATATATATATATATATATATATAGAGATAAAAAACACACGAAATCATGAATATATATATATATATATGTCAAATGATCTAAGAAAGCATTATTTATAGTTTTTTTAGTAGTATTTTAGTCAATATACAAATCTTATATGTAAATTTTTCAATGGGTGACAAGCTTGTCATTCATTTAAGATTAAATTTTGACTAAATGGTGGTTGCCCTAGTTAACTTGATCGACCAATTAAGACCTAGTTTAATTGGTGCTGATGACCACTACTCGTGAATTCTAAGATTATTGATTAAACATATATATTTTATCATATAGAGGGGAAAGTTTATAAAAAATCTATTGGATCTTGAGCGGATCTCATAAAAATAGGTGATAATCCATCTACTTTATTTGGATTAACTTCTCCCTCGCTGAGAATAACATTTTGAGAAAAATGGATTGTGAAATGGCCTAGGAAGCATTTATAGAAATCAAGATATGTTTAAAAGACCTACATAGTAACGGGCATGTGCCAATGTGATAAGAAGCCATCATTTTGCTTTTCAGGGTGGAAACAAGCCCATGAGGCCAATATGGCGATGCCATCCAATTTTGAGAAAAAGCTTGCTCATATGTAGCTTCTACTCACATATAAGGAAGGAACATCTAGGCTAAGTTAATTTTGCTAGCTTAATTTACCTAATTTATTATTATTTAGGCTCTTATATGAGTAATTTGGAGTTAATGAAATTTATATGACTCATTCGATTGTATTTATAAACTATCACACCATTCTTAGCTTGCTTAGTAATTAATTTTAATGAATCTAGTTAGATTAAACATTAGTTCAATTATTTTGAATTACCTCAAGATTTGTGGTCTTGAAAAAAGTTGTGTTTGATTAAATAAAGATTTCAAAATTCAAAATATAATAATAAATATGAATATTTTTTACATATATGAATGTGAATATACATTAACTTACATAAATTTTGAATTGAATGGTGTTTTAAGAATGATAACCAATCCCAAATATTTTATTAATTGAAGTAGGTCACAAGGAAAGTTATAAATCAAATTTCATATGAAAAGTTAGTTTATTTTAAAGATAGTCATAGGTTAAACAAATATGTGACATCTACCTTAAAATTTAATGAGCTTATTGCTTGTGTTAGAGCATTTTGGTGAGTATAGTAGGTTATTTTTTAGTTGTTCAAAATGATTTGGTTTGATTTAGAACTCAATTGAATTCTTTATTTCTAGCATAATTAAGAACCCTTTTAACGAATTTCAGTATTTATTGTATCCAAAGTTATTATGTGACGATTGGCCAAACATTATTAAAAGATTTAGAATATGAGATTTGATCCAATAAAGCTAATTCACTCAATTCTCTTGAAAAACCTATACTAAAAAGGATGTAGTCTTATTGAGTAAGCTAAGAGTCAATGAATGTGAGAATGCTGATAAGTTCCTTTGATAAGGCATTCCTAACCACCAAGTGACATTTATAAATATAGATAATTGTCTATATGATTGTTAAAAAAGAAAGTTAGATAAACTATAATTTATTATGTTGATTTGTCTAGTTGACCATATGATGTTTGGGAAGTTAATCATTGAGAACAAGTTATCAAGTTGTCTTCTTGAATGAGACATTTAGTTGGCCTATTTTGGAAGTTAAACCTCGTACAAAATCCTCAAGTTGATCGACCTCAAGACTTTCCTCTAGCAAATTTTATAAAAGTGTGAAAGGGATTTAAATGGTGAGTTTCATATTATGACTTCGCTTGGGACTATTTTTTACTGCTTCTTAAAGCAATTTTTTAGTACAAAAATTAATTTTTTTGTATTAGAAAGCTGCTTTAAAAAGTAGTAAGAAACTTGCCCCAAACTAAGCCTATGCGACATATTGGACCCATTTAATCATATGGTTTGATAATCTTAAACAAGGTGAGATGAAATGTATACTAGTTCCTCGATTCACAAGATTTCCTTTATGATATTATGAAGGACATGAGAATGAATACTATTTACACCACAAGTTGCTTTAAGTGTTAGCTTAAAAGTATAACAAGAGGTGATGCATGAATTAGTTGTGGTGATAATGATTGGCAACTAACAAAGAAATTTGTCATTGGATTTAATATTAATATTAGAAAAGATGTTGAATTGTTTAACTTTTAGGTTTTAGAAGAAGCTTTTTATTATGTCTTATTGGTTGAACAATTAAAAAAAAAAATCTATTTTTATCTTTAAAATTAAGAATCAGTCTCGTTCCACTTTATCCTATAAATCTAATATTCTCATCCTCCTAGCCCAACCCATTTGTCCAAATCTCTACTATAAGAATACTTGGTAATTAATCTATTTTAAATATCATAAAATGGTTATTCAAGTCAATGTAAAGTTAAATTTTATTCTAGAAAATTTATGAATCCAACAAATGATGCCCAGAAAATTTAACATATATATTATGTATAATGAAAAAAATGATATAAGTTATTCATAGGCCAGCCAATTAACTGTAATGAATAATGTCTCAAATCACACCCTTTTTAGTGCCAACCTAAAAGATGAACTTCATCCCAAATTTATTAATGTCAGTTGGTCAACCACACCTCTCTTCTAATCACTAGTAGGTCTATTCCGAATAGAAAAAAAATTAGTTATAAAAGATCTTATTTGGTGTAATTTCCTCCCTATATACAATACTCACATTCCATTAAGAAGACTATGATTTCACAATATGAGTGTTATTCTCTATGTTAGAGAAAATACTTATGCCTTCAAACATAATATTATGATCACCAAATTCCTATCAATAAAATTTTAAAAGAATACACCCTTCATAGCTCCCAATATAATAACCTTTAATATGCAACCATGCATAATGCACCATGTCATCATTTGATAGCAAAGCATAAGTTTAGATAAGGAGGCAAACATTAAAGAATCCATTCGCAAGAGAGAGTTTTCTTCATTTGATATTATAGTAAAATCTTTTTTCACTATCTTTTTTATATTAATATTGTG